ACCTCCTATCTCAGGATCTTAAAACATTTTACAAAAATTAACACAGCATTTTCATTCTGCAGAAGGAGGAACTAAAACACAAAGGTTGTGGGCAATAAAATCCCTGGGTCCTGATGTTCTGCGCTTTTATTGTAGCCACTACTCATGTTGCTTCCTCACTGGAAAAGAGCTTTCTCTTGTTATTCTTTTCCAAACTTTGGCAGGTACCAGTATTAAACATGTGCAGGTCATTTTGACTTACACAGGCAAAGTAAAGAGTTGGTAGGATTTCTGTCTCCCCAGTGACTGTTGATTTCCACAACTATTTATTGACCCCAAGTCCAACATCTCTAAAAGGGGTAAATTCTCATCTTGTGAAAAAATCACTTGAGGCAAACAAAGTTATTTCTTGGTTTCCTTTAGCCTTAACTGATCATTTTAACAGGCCAGATGTTGCCCTTCTGTAGTCTGTGAATGGCTTGGCTAGGTGCCCAAAGGCAGAGTTTCCCCTAAATGATGAATTGTTTAAATATCATGACTGTTGAAGATTTCTGTTGTATTTCAACCAAAAAGACATCGTTCATTCATTTAGCTGAAATAAGTTTCTTGTTGACCCATCCTTAGGTTACATGGATGATAGCGAAAATCATATGAAAGCAACAGATGAAAATAAAGGTACTTGTCATGCTTCTTTTTAAAGTGGTAATCTCTAAGTCATTTTGAGATCAAAGGTGGGGAGGTGGGACAACATCACAGGCAACGTGTCGAGGGCATGGGGGGCATTGCCCCCCCCCCCGGATTTCTGCACTGACAGCAAGGTGCAGGGCACAGGGCTGCAGCCTGGCCAGAGCCAGAGCCCAGGAGCTGTGGGGGGGGTTGGTGGTGGTGCAATGTTTGCACCACTGGTGGGATGTGGGGCTGCAACCTGGCCAGACCCAATGCCTGGTAGCGGTGGTGGCAGCAGTGGTGGGATGGAATTATGCCTCCCCACAGTCAGCACTTACATGTTGCCTATGGACCCCATACTGAGTGATAACCGGAAACTACCATCAGGACTTCAAAGGCTCATCCTTTGTCTCCTTTTCTTACTGTCAACTTCTGCGTTAGTTCTTTTTCCCTTTATAACATCATGATAACAATAACCATCTCCCTATGTCACTCTGAAGGCAATGAATTGCTTGTATAGGACTTTGAGTTAATCTGATGAAAGGTGTCTATTAAAAGGAGATATCATCAAGTAGTAGTTAAAAAGCATCGTTTAAAAATGTAGATATTATGGCTACAAAAACAGAAAGAGATAAAGTCCCTGTTTCTGCTTACCTTGTAGTCATGTGTAACTATTCAGACATGATTTTATTGTGATTCCTGCTAACCTTGTATGTAACAAAGCTTGGCCTGCCTAGTGTGTAAAAGACCAATTGAATTTTTGTATCTAGTAGATTTATGAAGTGAAGTTCGTAGGCTCGTCTACAAAAGGTGTTTTGTAAATTCCCCTTGAGAACTGAGAGATCGAGGACAGAGAGAGTAGTTGTCTTGTGAGAAGTGTGCACCCAGAGGTAATTGGGTGTTTTTGTCTTTCGTATTTTCAGTGTGCATTCATTCTGGTGTGCAGTTGTTGTTTGGTTTCTCCTACATATTTTCCATCACAGCATTTACTGCACTGAATGAGGTATAGTACATTTTTGGCAGTGCAGGTGTAAGATCCAAGGAATGGTGATGTTTCTGTTGTGGGGTGTAGTTATTGTGGGAGTGGTGGGGATGTGTTGGCAGGTTCTACATTTTTCCCCAGCATGGTCTGGAGCCATTCAGTATGGTTTGGGCCATAGGAAGTTTGCTTCTGGTGATGAAGTTGGCAAGGTTCAGTGCTTGTTTGGGTGCTCAGATGGGTGGTTTCTGTTCTGCTTAGGAGAACACACAGGGTAGATCTTGGGTTCCTTTTAAGTTCCCAAAGCGATCTCTGATTTAAAAGGTTGGAGACCACTCGTGTAGATGGTTGGGCTTCAGACTAATTATTATGTCTGTGAGTGGTCCACAAACCGTAGTTAGGAGATTATTGGTTTATGGAGAAAACTTAAGCATCTGATTTGACTATGCTGATTGCAAGCTGATGGCTGGATGTCCATCAGGACATGTTCTAAAGATAGGTAGAGGCCTTAGCTCAAATAGGAGGGGATGAGCCTGCAGTGGGAAAGCAGATCTGTGAATGAGATTCACAAAAGGTAGCAGAGGGGGATGAGGAGGCTCCTCTGAAGAAATAGTAAAGGAGTGATTGGGGAGTTTAGTAGGGAACCAGGAATGGCAATCACAAAAGCTGAAGACAGGATTTCAAACACAGGAGGATAGTTGAAGGTAGTTAAGAGGAAGATAGACTACCGGCTCTGAACCGTGACCTCAGAAAAGGTTATTAAAGTCTTCTAAATTTCTAGCTGAGTGCAAAGGATGGAAGGATGGGCGTCTAGGATAGGACAGGAAGAAACAAACCTCAGAGGAGAAGGCAGTAGTTGTAGAGAGCTTTCATTGAGCTTAGGGATAAAAGAGAGAAGGGAGGCTGGCAGTAGGTAGGTGAAGGTGTTGGGGGTAGCCTGGGTATGAGGAACCAGAAGGAGGTCCAAGTGGAAGCAAGATGGCATTGGATCACTGAGGAGAGCAGATGAGAACTTTTGCTTCAGTGTCTGAGGTCAAGGAGAAAGTAATGAAGGGAGGGGGAGAAAGAAGGAATCTGGGAGGGAGAGTAGGAGAGCAAGAATGAACATGAGCATAGTTGGAGCTGCAGTATGCACTCAGGGGACTATCAGAAAATCCTCATTTGCATTGCACCATTTTTCAGATTGCAAATAACAGGCATGTGTTTCAGGCATGACCCAAGTCTTGTCCAGGTCGTGCAGTTTTAGGAAGTCTACTAGCACCAAGCTCCTGCACCCAGGGAGGGCTGGGGCCCAGTTATGGATCATCCTAACAGATTTAGTCACCAGAATAACTCAGGACCTGATCCTGTGTCCATTAAAGTCCACGGGCATTGGCTGTTGATTTTCACTGGTGGCAGGATCAGGTCCACAGCCAGTATGGAGTATGCAGTGCTACAAAGAACCATCTTCTTGCTATCTTTGGGGCAGGACCTGAGCACGAGATTACTGAGGTGGAGTATACTGAAGTTGAAGTGTCGACGCCTGATCCTCACAGAGGTAACTAACTGCCCTGTCCAGTGATGTTTTCGGAGTAACTACGGGAATGCTGCTCTTCCCGCTGATCTGCTGTTGTCTTCAAAGGGAACAGGCCCAGGTCCAATATGCATGCACAATTGTTCTGTGATTATAGCTCTCATTGAACCAGGGGCTATATGGACAGCAGCAGGGCATCTGTTACCAGGGCCAGTAAAGTCTTTTGCCATCTCCCAATCTTTTCCTGTGTACCCACCCAGCCTTTGTACATAAGATCTTTGGAGTGCAGTGTTACCAGATGGCACAGAAGGCAACCTGCTGTAAGTCTGCATTATGTGGGTTCAGCACTCACTGGGGAGCACTGAACTCTCCTTTTTAGTTTAACTGGGTAGGCTCAGCCTGTGAAACCAACAGGAAGGTTTCCAAGACCCAGGGTGGGACTGTGGGCTATCCACTCTCTCAAAGGTTGGAGAGAACAGGGGAGTGCAAGATGGAGGAAGTCATCCATCCTAAATATGGAGGAAAACAGGGAAGAACCTGAAGGAGTCCTGAAATCTGCAGGACAGCATGGAGAGTGACCTGGCAGTGAGCACTGCCTGTTGTTGCAGGCTTTCCACGGCAGCAGTAGCCAGAACTGTTAGCACAGCGCCAAGATGTGTCTAGTCATATTTCCTAACCTCTAAGGACATGTTGGATTGTAGCCCCAAAGGCAGAGTATGCAGCTTAATCACTTTATCTCACCCCAAGAATCCCGGTCTCCTCAAGCTCCTTGGCCAGAGAATTGTCGGAATGAACATGAAAACGAATAAGAGTGAATAAAATCCATGGGACACATGAAGCCATGTCCCAGACTTCAGCCATGACCCAGAATTCACTGACCCACTCTTTCCAGAAGGGACACCAGTTTATTTCGTGGGCTGAAGCCAGGCTTTTTCAGTTAGCAGTACAAGGGCTTGGTTGTGTGAATGTGTCATCTCTGAGCTTGGCAGCAAAAAGCAGTCTGGCAGCTGATTCTTCACTTTCCATGCCCTCACTCCTCTGACATGCTGCTCCATCCAGCCCTGTGGCTCCTCTGCCTGTTTCCCAACCATGCTGCCTATTTATCTTTGGTAGGTGGTGCACCTGGAGCCATTATATGGGATTTTAGAATATGCTCCGTAGTTCTGTCAAGTCCTGTCACATATTCAACTCATGCCCCATGCATGATTACAGCTTGGGATGTTGTTAGAAGTACTGTCTATCAGATGATACCTTCTTTGGGTTCAAGACAGATCCCTAAGGAGAGCCCCTGCGTCCTAGCCAGCCTCTCTCACAGTAATACAGATGTATGTCCCAGGCAGGGTGTAAGGTCCAGTCTGCACTACACAGATTGTCATCTTAACTGGACCCACTTAAACTTCACCCTTTCAAATGACAGGTTAAATATGTTGCTTGCAGCCATGGTCCCAACACTACAGGTGTTTATATGTTACTTTCCAAAGCATTGAGATGCTACTATGAAATCAGACTGGGTTGTGTGCCAAAGAGTAACTCTGCTCTGTGCTGCACAGAACGATGAAAATGGGATAAAATTAATTCTCAGGAAAAAGAGGAGTAAAATCAGCTTTAGATGCCTGCAGCAGCTTCTCACACTTACACTTTTGGCCCCTGAGGTCCCATTGATGCTTTCATCATGTTGATGTATATATTTTGCTTCAAACCATAGTATTCTTCCTTGGTGCTCTGTTATCATCACACCAAAGAGTACATACGATATGAGTGAACTCCTTAAGAATCCTCTGAGTTAGCCTGGCGCTTTCTCTGGCTTTCTCTGCTTTCTGCATGCAGACATCACAACCTAGCTTTACAGTCTATACCCAGTGCATGCAGTCCTCATCCAGCCAGCAGCATTCAGCACTGGCAGCGTCTGTGTAGTGGGCCATCTTTTAATCCAGGCAATTAATTTTCCTTTCACAGTCTGCTGTTTTAATTTCTTTAAAAAACAAAAGCAAAGGATCTGACCCTGCAAGATGGTAAACACACTCAATTTCCCTTCACTGTATTGGCATCCCAAGTGCTTATCAATCTTTGCAAGCTTTTGAGTACATGCTTTAAATTATTAGCTACTGCACATTCATCTCTTCTGTCACCGCTGTCATCAGTGGCACATTTCCTGCTGACCACAAGGGGAGCAGGGTCAGTTTATATTTAAAAATTAAAGCATAAAAATATCTTGGAGCCCTTCTGGGGTTTAGGAATAATTAAATAGTAGAATGATCTAATGTATTGGCCTTAGAGAGCCATTTAAATTTGATTTTGCTCTGTTTCTTCAAGCCAAATCAGTACTGGCTGCTAACATTTTTTTCAAACATACTACAGCTGTGGGATTCCTTTCTACATAGACTTCCTTTCTACCATTGCTAAAAACCAAAGGTGTACCAGTGTTATCAGTGGTGACAAACTCTCCAGAAGAGAAGCTAATAAAGACAAAGCCTAACTGCTTAATTTTTACCCCATTTGTAAATTGGGGATATCCTTCTTTGTGAAGAATTTTGAGGTTCCTATGATAGAAGGGGGTAGACAAGGCAGGTACTTTTGCAGGGTTGGAGCTGCTTGCTGGTTTGGCATTCAAAGAAATACTGTTGGTAGGGAATAGTTTGAATGAAACTTTAAGGAGAGCCTATGCTTCACAAAAAATATAGTGCATATCTTTTCTAAATTTATGTATGTGAAATTGCTGTTCAGTGAGTCAGGCTTTTATTGTTAATACAAGGAAAAACAGAGACCAAAGCTAAAATACTGTCAGGAAATAGCCCTAAAAGGAGAAGGGAGAAATTGCTATCATGCCTGAGTAAGCACGGGCCCCTCCTTTTACATTTATAAACAGTTAGTCATCAGCACTGTGCGATCACTGGGAGCAAACTGGCATATTACCTGAATCCTTTTTGCTGGCATGTCTGCTCAGAGTTGGGACAGGAGCGACTAGCAGAAGGCTAACAAAAAAAAACGTCATGAGCAATTATATGAAATCAAGATCAACTTGAATTTAAATAATCAAATCATCCAGAGGCCTAATCCAGGTCCCAGTAGGAGTCTACCCTGAATCAGTGGGAATTGACCCAAGCTTGTAACATACTAACAGGCCATTTCCAATGAATGTCTGTTGGCAGGGCTCCTATAGCCTTTCTTGGTGGATCAACCACATGTAACAGCAGACTGTGAAATCAGGAGATTATTAGAGGATCTTCAGACTGTTACTCAAGGAAAATTTATAACAGATCAGTGCTACTGAGAAGTGTGATTAGGTGCTTGCTGAAGTCTAGACCCTTGCCAATGAAATCAATGGGAGTCTTGTATTCAGCTTCAACACCTGTCATCCCCTGAGTCTAAAGCACATGTACCATAAGTATTTAAAATTAATTCAAACGTGAGAATGTGTTTCAGTGGGGCATGAAACACTGAAATCCTATTTAACAATACAGTACAATATCCTGATATTCTTAGTTTGACTGCAGAGAAGTAGCCACATTTGTCATTTTCAATCATTTAACGGCCTTGTGGCTAAAACATAAGATTGAGCACAGCGCTTCTAGCTCTACAACAAGCATTCGGCATGACCTTAGAAAAGTCACTTAACTTTTCTGTTCTTCAGAATTTACAAAAAAAAATAACAGGCCTTCAAGGTGTTGAGTCCCAAAACAAACAAAATGTAATTAGTGTTTTTAAATTGCTTTGAGATCCTTCAGCAAAAATCTTCTCAGCGTATCCACTCCACTGAGTTAGATGCGTGCCATCTAAATTACAGCATGGCTTGCCCGGTGAATCTGGGATGAGCCAAGCCACATCTACAACTCTATCATAGGTATGTATGTGTCAAAATCAAGTTTAGGATGGAAAATTAATTTTAATCTTGAAAATTAATTTGAATAATGGAGAGAGAATGCATCTCCATAACATAGTCACCTGGACTGGATGGGGAGTTTGCCTGCCTTTTCATACTGATATCCAATGGCACATTGCTGCTTATAAAACTGTTTCCTCTGCAAGTACAACAGTATGTTCTGCTTGTTTAAGGAGCTTTTTATAAAGCAAACAAAAAAGAAAAGAAATTGATTCTGTGCCAATACGTTTTCCAGCTCCTGTACAGAAGGGGACTGAACCAGTTTATAGTGAAATCAGAAAAGCTAAGAATGGTAAGTAAGCTAGTGAAAAACTAACTACGTGAAGGAAGTTTGAAAGCATTTTGTATAAAAAGATCAGGGGGATAGGTCTGTGAGTTTAGAAGTAATTGGTGTAAAAGTGAAACATGGAGATCATATGGAAACATCCTGAATAGCAGCTAAAAAAACTTAACTGTTAAACTCCATAGCTCCCTTGTACTTCCTGGAGAGCAATGATCTTAACAGGGGGAGAATAACACCTAGAACATCTGCTCCATTAATCCATTTACACTGTATTTGACAAATGCATCTGCTTCAGCTATCTGAATCTGGATTCTGGGAATTTCTTCTAGGTGACACAAAATATTTCATATTTCTGGGTGTTTTTTCTCCTGTCTCCATAACGGTTATTTAAAACATAAATAACCCCAGTACACATTGGTATTTGAAGCAAAATTATCACATTTGTGTCTTAATACAATCAGAACACCGTCCAAACTGGGGACGCCAATTATTGCCTTCTCCCAGCTCTGGAAGGCAACAAAAATTCTTCTGTAAACCTGGATCTCAGCAGCTCTCTTTCTGCCAGTTGCTATCTATAGTTGCTCCAGCAGTACTGAGTTTCCAGAGACTGTGAGTCTTGATGCTTCCTGTGAGTTTGTCAGAGACTAAATAAGAGCGGATATCCTTCCATCTCCTTTGTATCAAGGAGTCTCCATTTGTAAATGTCAGGGCTGTTAGCCAGTCAGCTTTTCTTTTTCCTCACCATGTGGCTTTGGTGGATTTCATGCTTTATTTCTTTTCTCATGTCTGCTTTGCTGATTTTCCATTTTTATCTGGGATTTCTTCCCCCTTCCTGCAGAGGATTTCCATACTTCTATAGAATCTTCCATCTGAGGATCTCATGGTACTTTGCAAACATTACTTCATTTTCCCCTGTGAGGAACAGTTAAGGTCATTTTTATCTGCATTTTACAGCTGAGTAAATAGAGAGATTAGGTAATTTGCTGACAGTCCCACCAGTTGGACCATGGAAAAGCTGAAACTAGAACCCAGGGATCCCAATTCCCAATTTGTTGCTGAACTCCTAACCTATGTTCCCTGCTCACAATCTTTCTTTCCCAGAAATGAAAAATAGCTGTTAAACCAAAAACCAGGGTTGGGTACTTGATATGGCACAGCCCTTGCAGCTGTGTATGGAATATGCTGCACATTTTGGACCACAACCCAGTGCCCGTTGAAACTGAGGGAAAGCCTCTCACTGAATTCAGGTTTTGGATGTAGCCCTTACTGAGATGCATAAGCAGACTGTGTACTTCTGATTTTCATTGTGCCCAAGTGGGAAATCCAGAAGTATTATGCCTTTCATGATGCCTTTCCTCTCCCAAAATGGAAAGTGCCTCATGTACTGGAATGACCCTTTGTGAGATCAAATTCATCAGCTCACGTGTGCTAGAGGGTAGTTTTATTCAAGGCCTTTATAAAACTATTTATTGTAAGGCAGGAAGTGCAGTGAAATGAGATTCGATCGAAAGTCTAGGTTGAATTAGACAGATATATGCAAGCACCCCTTAATCTTACAATCCACCTGCTCCTTTATGCCTAACATACTACAATCCAGTTATTTTTGGAAATGTAATAACAGTGTATTGTTTTAATCACGTCTGTTTTTCCTGACTGATACACAGGAAAAGTGTTTCAAATAGATAAGCAGGACATCACACGGGTGTACAGTAGTTTTAGATGGCTACATTACATATCTGAATATAATAGTTACTTTATTTATGGAGTCTGCATGATACCAGCGTAGCGCAACAAGGAATTGGGATTTGGGGTTCATAGAGAACTAGAGCATCCACAACAGTTCAGACTGATGAATGCTTTAAAACTTAATCCTGCAAGATCCTGGGGACCTCATAGAAAGAGCTGGGGATCCTTGACCTTCTTGTCATTATGTGGTTGTATGGCACTTTGACACTCTTGATAGATAGATGTCCTTAAGTGCATTGTATTCTCTTGTACCAGTTACCTGGGTCACAGTAGCATTGTATCATCTATCTAGTGCTTTGCTAACACTTTCTCTGCCTGTCATTCTTGCTTTACCTCCCTCACACTGGTACGGCACAGTCTATAGCCTGATCCCTGTGGAACAACTGGGCAAACACAGCCAAAGAGTTTGTCTCCATTAGAAAGCTACTGCAGATTCAGGAAGCATGTAAATAAAGTGGAGTAGCTACCCTGAAATAACTCCATGCATGGGTACTTATTCTTGAAGATGAGTGCCTTGTTCCTGTTTAGCTTAATCCACTTCTGAAAGAGGAGAAGGACTTTTACAAAGTGGATTACAGTGAACAAGAACAAGGATAAGGACCCCTCCATACATGAACCTATTTCCTAGTGTCGTCAGGGGCCAGAAGCTGTGATTTTCATGAACATCAAGGCTCCTCTTCATTGCTCAGGCAATAAGTGTAAATTATACTCCCTAGTGCAGGGGTTGTCAGCTGGGGGTATGCATACCCCTGGGGGTACTTGGGAAGGCCCCAGGGGGTATGTGGCGTGGCACTGTGCACCACTGCCAAGTGCCACTGCCACACTGCTTCATGTTTGGCTGCTGGGGGGACCCCCCCGCTCATCAACTGGCCCCCAGTGGACCTTCCTTCCCCCCCCACTCCACATCCAGAAGGGGTACCCACCAGAAAGGGTACTCTCGTCAAAAAAGGTTGAAACCCCCGTCCTAGTGTAATGCATAGACAGATGATGGATAGAGGCTGCTGTTCTGACTTCTGCTGTCTTTTCCCTTTGTAAAGTTTTCCCTTTTCTCTGAGGTTTGGAATTATCTGCTCCTCCTTTTCTGTTTCTGTAGCTGACCATGATAAGGCCTCCTTCTCTACTGCACTGGTTCCCTAGGACTGAGCACTGTGCAGAGCTTGTGGCTGCTGGAAAGATTAAATGGGCCTAGACTTCAAAAACTCAGATCTGCATTTCAAACTCGCTAAAACACGTTTGATTTTAGATCTGGGGTTTGGTAGAGGAAAGAGGCCAGTTGTGAAATTCAGCTCTGATCCAGCCCATCAAAGTTTAGGATCAAATAGTAAAACAGCAGAAGACTGTAATTTGTCCAGCTGGACTCTAGATTTCCACTGTACAGCATTCATAGATTTCATCGACACTAGGGCTGGAAGGGACCTCGGAAGATCAACGATTCCAGCCCCCTGCCCCAGGGGCAGGAAGTCAGCTGGGTGTCCAAATGTTTCTTAAAAGAGTCCAGAGTAGATGGTTGCACCACCTCTGGAGGGAGTCTATTCTAGGCCTTGGGGACTTGGACAGTAAAGAAGTTTTTCCTTGTGTCCAGCCTAAAATGGTTTTGGAGGAGTTTGTGGGTCTGACCTTGTCATCCCTTGGGGCACTCTGGCATTCCCCCAGGTCCTGATGTATTTATAGGCAGCTACCAGGTCAACCCTGAGCCTGGCTTTTCCAGGGTGAAGAGTCCCATGTTCTCTTGCCTTCTTATCATTCACATGGCTCTCCTCTGGATTCTCTCAAGCTTTTCCACATCCTTTTTAAATTGTGGAGTCCAGAATTGGATGTAGCCCTCTAGCTGTGGTCTCCCCATGGCCAAGTACAGCAGAAGGACAACATCCTGAGATTTACTTGAGAAGCATCTATGGATGTAAGCCAGAGTTTTGTTTTCTGTACCAGGTGCTCATGTTCATCTTGTGGTCAGTCGTGACCCCAAGTCCCTTTCAGCCACGGAAAAGGGCCACCAACCACAAAGGGAGTTGAACCCCCAATCTGTTGATCCAAAGTCAGACACCTTACCCATTAGGCCACGCAGTCAGGGATAACAAAGGGGAACAAAGTTGGTAGTACGTTCATTTTGGCTTCAGGAACAGCTAGTAGAAGTGAAACTGCCAGTGTTAATTTATTTTTAAAAAATCTGACTTGAAACGTCCAGTAAAATGACCCCAGGGATTAATGTAAAACATTTTTAAATGTATCAAATATTCACTCATGTAACTAGATTTCAAGGCTTTGTGGAAAATGCCTAAAACTAAGGCTCAGCCATCAGTAGAACTAAAATCAGTTGTACCTTTGGATGGCACTTCTGGGAAGGCTTCTTTTAATGCCCCTTCAACCAGTGTTTCTGCAATTGCAGATTTAGTATAATAAGGGGCTTCTGGCAGGAGGAAGGAAAGCTCTATGAATTACTCCATGATCTAAATCTTCTTTGGGAAGGGTTTCATTGCAAGAGGAAAAGAGGGTTAGGGAGGATACAACAGATTCAGCTCAGCCCCACAGCATCCACCTTGCAGCCCTTATGTTTTTCAGGACAATCGGGAGTAATGATAGGTAATGGATATGTGCATTCCTGTTCCTCCCGCAGATGCTGTGCCTTCACCCTGAGGATCTGATCCAAAGATGATGGGAGGCTCCCTGCTGGCTTTTATAGGCATTGGATCAGACCCTTGGTGGCATCGCAGAGCTCATTGTGATACTGTAGCCTTGGGGCTCCTGTCTGCTTTCTATTTTTAATTCTTCTTTGGGAAAAGGGAAATCTAGTGAACATAATACACAGCCAGTCTCAGTGTCACTTACACTGGAAAAACGAATCTGTCACTTGGAGGCAGTTGCAGTGGCGAGACAGGAAATCCAAAGAATCCCCTTACAACTGACAATGCCCTGGAAAAACAAATATACCCTAGTGGAAGGAGACATGAGAAATCCCCACTGAACTGAGCAGTTTGGAACCAGCTATTAGATTGGCTGCAGTGATCAGGAAATTTGCTTTACTGTTTTTCTGCACCCAGACCCCAGCTTCAACACCTCAGTACTCAGCTGGGATTTCTCATTAGAGCTGGGAAAAACCTTGACAGCAGGGAAGTTCACTTGGTTTGGGAACTTCCTTGCACACGCCAAAGTTTGGCTAAGGTGAGCTGTGTTTTGAGCAGCTCATGTGTAATAACATGGAACCACCTGTAGTATGAGCCCATGCAAGTCCTTAACAGATCTGGCTCTGGCTCAGCAGGTAACAG